TCAGCCCAGTGGCCAGGTTCTCAGACACCCGCTGAGACCAGGGACCGTCTCTGAGAAACCGCATCAGCCAAGGGCCGGCCCTCGGACGCCCACTCCAGCCAGAGGCCAGGCTCTGGGACACCCACACCACTCACGCAGAATCACAACTGCCTCCTCGGCCTCAGACTTAGTGTCCCCCAAGCGCCCCTTGTCCCCGGGGCCGAGGCTGAGCAGTGGCCCCACACTCAGCCACACTCAGCCACCGCGATGAGCCCGTGTACGAACAGTCAGGGCCGGGAGCGGCGGCTCGTGGCTGTCATCCCAGCGTCTTGGGAGGCCCAGGCGGGCGGATCACGAGGTCAGGGGTTTGAGACCAGCCTGGCCAACACGGTGAAACGTCGTCTCGGCTAAAATTAAAAAGTTAGCCGGGCGTGGTGGCGGGCGCCTGTAGTCCCACCTACCGGGGAGGTTGAGGCAGGAGAATCGCCGGAACCCAGGAAGCGGAGGTTGTGGTGAGCTGAGGTCGCGCTACCGCACTCCGGCCTGGGCGGCAAAGCTTGGGGTACTGGGGTTCTGACCGCACTCCTGGCCCTTGTAGGATCTGATCGTGCACGTGAGGGACGTCAGCCACCCCGAGGCCGAGCTCCAGAAAGCCAGCGTCGTGGCCACGCTGCGCGGCCTGCGGCTGCCCGCCCCGCTGCTGGACTCCATGCTGGAGGTTCACAACAAGGTGGACCTGGTGCCCGGGTGAGTCCGGCCCTGGTGTCCACGTGCGTCTCACGCCCTTCTCTGCGGGCGCTGCAGACCCTGCCCTCGTGGGAAGTGCGGACCGCCGGCACGGGGGCCGAGGCCAGGAGAACTCGAACCCAGGAGACGGACGTTGCCGCCCCAGGCCATGCCCCGCGGGCAGCTGACTCCTGGGGACCCTGCTTTGCACAAACGTCTCCTTCCCCTGCGTCTGCTTGAGCAGCATGGGGAGACGCCCCGTGTCCTCCCCTGAACCTCAGCGGTGACAGACACCGGGAGCTTCCCCACGCTGTGCCCCGCGGGCGGCTGACCCCGGGACCCCAGCTTTCCCCCAGCCTGCCACCCCGAGGCTGAGCGGGCTCTGTGGCGTCCACGCCCTTGCAGGTACCACCCCACGGAACCGAACGTGGTGCCCGTGTCTGCCCTGCTGGGGCACGGTCTCCAGGAGCTGAAGGCTGAGCTCGACGCGGCGGTGTTGAAGGCCACGGGGAGACAGGTCCTCACCCTGCGCGTCCGGCTGGCCGGGGCCCAGCTCAGGTGAGCAGCGGCCTCCCGGGGCGGAAAGGGGACGGTGTTCTGGCGGCCTCTCTCTGGCTCACAAAGGGACTCCTTCGGGGTGCAGGAGGAGCTGTGGGGACCCCGAGGGCTTTAGGATGCAGAGACGAGGTTACATGTGTCTGAATGGGTTCGCAGCAAATGTGTCCTGGGGAGTCATTGTGCATACAGCAGGCGCCGAATCAATGCTCAGCGACACTCAAACGCTGTAGGACTCCCTACCAGTAAGAAAGCAGGCTCCAGCGGACGCCGTGGCTCACGGCTCTCCTCCCAAGACTTTGGGAACCCAACGTGGGCGGAAAACCTGAGGTCGGGAGTTTGAGACCAGCCTGGCCAACATGGTGAAACCCCGTCTCTACTAAAAATACAAAAATCAGCCTGGCGTGGTGGCGGGCGCCTGTAATCCCAAATACTTGGGAGGCTGAGGCGGGAGGATCGCTTGAACCCGGGAGGCGGAGGTTGCAGTGAGCTGAGGCGTGAACACGGCACTCCAGCCTGCGCCACAGACCACAGAAAGGTCTGATCAATGAATGCCTTGGGGTAAGCTTTCTTTTTTTTTTTTTTTTT